AATATGGTACTACCAAAATACCTTCCGCTTTATCCTTGATTATCTTTTGGAGAACCCTCAAAATTATGGCAAAGGGTGGAAACGAATAAAAGTAAATATTTGACCAGCAAATGGTAAACGCATCACATGAAAGAGCCTCTGGATCTCTCAACCAAGATACATATTTAGGGCATTTGTAATTGTTTCGGGATGCAAAGAGGTCCACCTCAGGGTTACCGAATTTATTTTTTATTTTAGCAAATGCGTAATTTGCCAAAGACCACTCGGTTTCTGGTTTTAAAATTCGTGATTCAGAATCGGCTTCCCAGTTGTCCTTCGTATTTACATAAGAAGCGAAGATCCATATATTCCGTTGCTCGCACCATTGCCACAATATTCTGGCCATGGTATTTAAATGCTTATACTGAATACTACCCATGCGGTTTACACATGCTATTGCGGTTGTGTTATCGCATCTTATTAGTATATTGCAATTTTTTAGATTTTTAGCGAAGCATTTTAACCCTAGAAATATTGCTTGCAATTCTAAAAAATTTATGTGATATCGTTTGTCTTCTAAAGTCCACCAACCATGTGTTTTTTCTCCGTTGCAACAGGCGCCCCAGCCCGAAAGGGAAGAGTCGGTAAAAATTTCAACTCAGATGAATCCTGTTTGATATCGTTACAGGCCGTTTTAATATTGTCCCGCCACCAAGAAAGATCGAAATTTAGTGATATCGTCATTTCGCATCGAAATTCATGTTATTTTTACGAAGAGCGGTTAACTTTTCCCTTTCTAAGGCTTTAGTATATAGGAATCCGTACTTGATAGCAGGGCATGCAGAAATCAATAGACCTAAAAACTGAGCAAATTCTCGTATTTTCAGTACTTTTTATTTTGAATAAGCAGAAATGCACTGATGGATTTTTGTTCTTTATCATATGGAAGCTCAATTTTTTAATGTGTCTGTACATGAAAAAACAAAAATCGAGGAATTTGGGTAAGTTGTCGATGGATTTTATAGAACTTTTCTCCCAAGTTAATCACAAACCCTAGAGATTTTAAGATATCTATGGTAAATAAAATTTTGTTTACAATCTCCCAAATGATTCCCCGAAAATCAGAAAATCATCGAGATAATTTACACAAAATGACTTCTTTAGATCTCAATTCTTGTAAAACTGGTTTAAGAATTTTGTAAATGCATGCGGGGCAGAACGATAGCCCAAATGGAAGACATGTAAACTCGTAAATTTGGTTATTAAAAGGAAAACCTTAAAAATTTCCGATGATGTTCAGATGTGACTGGTAATAAGAAATATGCGTCCTTTAAATCAAGGGTTGCAAGAAACCAATCTTTTTGAATCATTCTCAGAACTGTACGCGTGTCTTCCAGCTTAAAGTGTGGAGCATCTACGTAAACATTGAAATTTTTTAGGTTAAGAATGAACCGTTTCTTCCCGTTGGCTTTTTCGGCCAAAAAGAAGGTAGAGAGAAATTGATCAGGAAGGTGGTCACATTTTACAATCGCCCCTTGTGTAAGCATTTTCGATATTTCTATAGAGGCTAATTGCTGTTCCACAGAGGACAAGGGTACTAACCTTGGAGGTGCCAGTTGAACAGGCTTTTTATTTAAAGGTATATGGTAGCCTTTAATCCATTTTAGGATTAAGGTATTTGACGTTATAGTAGTCCACTTTTCATAAAACCGAGAAAGCCTACCAGCAGATATATTTACACTTACCTTATCTACTTCCTTCTCCTGTATCTTTCCTTGTAAGGTTGTTGTCGTGTTTCCTTTGAGGTTTGCCCTTTTGATCCCGTTTCCCTCGGAGGACGGGTCGGGCGAAACCGGTTTAAATTACCGTAGATTTGATGTCCTTTCATTTGTCGCCCCCCCTCCTTTTTTGGAATTGCCTTGTTAAAGCCATGTATAGATGGGACCGCTTTTAGGTCCTTACTTGCGGCTTGTATAGATTTTGCTGTTTTAACCTTTTCGCTCAGATCGGAGCCAAACAACAAATTTGATGGTGGGCATTTCTCCAGTATTTCTTTTGTTTCCTTATTCATGTAAGGAAATATGAAGCTGCGACGTGCCATCGATAAATCATGGTACAGGTCCGCTAAAAGGCGTCCTGCATCTGACATACACGGAAGCAGAACGTCTTTCTGTGTACTAGGTAGATTTTCCTTATCAGATAAAATATAATCAATGCCTTTACCTAGAGCAGCTATTCCTGTGCCTAATTTTGTTTGAAATCTGATATATGCGTCGTCCTTCTTCCGCATATTAAGGGGGATAATATTTTAGATTCTGGGTTAATTGCCGGAGGTGTTAGTAAGGGACAATTAGACGGTATTTTGTATTTTTGTATTAATTTGGTACATTCGTTTTCGAGTTAAACCATTGGTAATAAAGTGAGTCCAACGGCTCGCCAATGCCGGAATGTACGTGTCCCGCCGTCGCCTTGTTCAACACCTGGATCTTCCCCAAAAAATATTTAGGACATCCTCTCTGGCAGTTGAACGTCATTATGAATGACTACTGCGTCGTGCAAAGACGCGTCTTCGTCCTCTATTAGTGAAGCCATGCCGCTCGGGCTATGGGCAAAACTATCATTTGGAGCGTTTGCCGAGTCGCACGGATCTCGGGCTGCACTTCGTGGAACGCTCGGCGATCGCTGTCGTCGTGGTGACGTGCCCCGGAAGAGAAAGAGCGCCTTATGGACGGAGATCGTAGATTGGAGGATCGCTGTCGGGTCCGCGAGCGTGACCGCCTCTCCCTCTCTGACTGCCTTATCGGTAGCGCACGCGCTAGAAGGTGATCGCCGTTGACGACGAAGCACCGAGGCTGACCTCGAACGGGCCTTCCTATTACGCTTACGCAATATTTTTTCAAGCTTTTAGACGTTTTAATAGCTCTTTATTGGGTATACTAGTGTCTCCAGAAGAGTAAGATTCTCGACTGGAAGAGCTACGTCTACGTTTCTTTGATTTACCCATGCTAAAAGCGATTAATATTACGTAAATATGTTATACTTACGTGAACGTCTCGAGCAAAGGTATCGGAGGGTTACACGCACTCGCGTAGCACAAAAAGGCGAATGACCATATAGGACTGAGCGGACGACATCCAGAGATACCAAAAGGTGGGGAGGAAAATTGTCTTTAAAATATTGTGGCGCGTAGTACGAATTGGCGGACTATATGGTGAAATAATTAACATCTTTGGACTGGATGCCGAAATATAATACCTATTATTTTACTTTTTATAAAAGAATATTAAGTCATACCACCAAAAATTATAATTATAGGGTTTATTTTTATACTAAATAAATTGATGTCTTAAAGAATAAGTTGAACAATAGAGATTTAATAATTTTCATAATAATTAATTATTACCAATAAAATAAAATGTCAAGGAAAAAATATATCTTTAGAACTCAGTAAACTGTCAAATGAAATGTTTCGTTTAATAAACTATAGTGTAGAGCCGGTGGCATTCCTCTTACGACTAACTCAGCGATCAATTTTAGGGCTTAGCAGTATTAGTATTAAAGAAAAGTGTCACTATTTGTCAAAAGTTTAATTAAACAATAAACGAGTTATTTTATTGCATAATATATTTGCCTATGATCCCTTGTTTGTTTCTATATTTGCGTATATTATTATGCATGTTTACCTAAATCTAAAACAGAATTTCAAAATTTTTCTAATTAATTATTAACAATAAAATAAACTGTCAAGGAAAAAATATATCTTTAGAACCCAGTAAAATCGAGAGCATTCTGTCAAATGAAATGTTTCGTCTAGGAGAATTAACTATAGTGTAGAGCCTGTGCCATTCCTCTTACGACTAACTCAGCGATCAATTTTAAAGCTTAGTTGTATTAGTATTAAATAAAAGTGTCAATATTTGTCAAAAGTTTAATTAAACAATAAACGAGTTGTTATATTGCATAATATAATTGCATATGATCAGTTATTTGTTTCTATAATTGCGTATATTATTATGCATGTTTATCAAAATCTAAAAAACAATGCAGAATTTTATAATTTTTCTAATTAATTATTAGCAATAAAATAAAATACCAAGAAAAAAATATATCTTTAGAATCCAGTAAAATCTAGAGCACTCTGTTAAATTAAATGTTTCGTCTAGGAGAATAAACTAGCGTAAAGCCGGTGGCATTCCTCTAACACACATCAATTTTAGGGCTTAGCAGTGGAAATAGTGCTGAGCATCATCCTTAATCTTGCCAACTGCGCTTCGTGGGACGCCCGGAATTCGGATAAGACCGATTCGGTGTCCATCAAGATCGGGCTCCTCGTTACTGTCCTTAATTTGGGCGGGGTAAGTTTTATTTAGTCTCAGGAAATCGTACTAATTAATAAGAATATCGAAAGAGGTTAGGGTGCTGGGACTACGTAAAGCTTACCCCTCAAATCAGAACAGTAACGAGAGTGATATATCAGAGTGAAATCCACAGTTAGCTGGAATAATGATGCTCAGCATAACTCTAACCCAAAATGATGTTATACCACCGGCTTTATACTAGACGAAGCTGACCAGATACTGGATTCTAAAGATATATTTCTTGGTATTATTGCTAATGATGGTAAAATTACTTATTGTTAGATTTTGACAAAATGCGTAATAACGCGATGCTAGAAACAAATAACTGATCATACTCTGATACTCCATGCAGTATAACTGACTCGTTGTAAACGACAAATATTCGACCCAATACTAATACAACGAAAGCTGCGCTGGTGTACGTAATGGCACCGAGCTCACTATGGTGAATACTCTAGTGCTCTCCCGTAAGGTTCTAAAGACTATATTTTCTGACAGTTATTTTGTGGGTAACTCGAGGGT